ACAACGAATGTCATTAAATGGAACTACCTTCTTTTTTGTATCATGATTAAACCTGCACTCACTAACCTCTTTCAAATCGTAATTATGTTGTCAACAAATGTCTGCTTATTCAAAAATTCATATGATGATTATGACAGTTCATTAGTCAATGATAGCTCAACACGATAATTATACTGTAAGAAGAAATGTTATAGCTAAAACAAAGCATTTTTTGATATAAAAAGACATGCCGAAATAATTGTGGAAATATTCTAAGTTTAATTTCTGGTGAATTTTTATTTAAATTTAAAGGAAATAACTATGGATCTAACACTCTTAAATTTTATTATATATTATTTTTTACAAATTAATATGAAGGTGTTGGTATCTTTCAACTGCTGGGATATGGAAAGTAAGTGAAATTGTAAAGCAACAACAGTGAATGATCTTCATCTTCATCGATATGGCAAATGGTGTTTTAATGAGATGCTTTTTCATGGCAGACGTACACTCGCTGGTTTGGCATTGCCTGCCGAGAGGCAACCGCTACTGAAAACAACTTTTTTGCATGTTCCTCTCACTAGCAATCGAATCTTTCCCCGACCAAGTGGAAGTACGCATCTCTAACCACTCAGCTATGACGGCGGTGGTTTGGATCACACTTGGTCTTAATACTTTGGGAATTTGTGTTTAGCCACGTCCCCGTTTTAAAGTTCAAGCAAGAGGCCAACCGGCTTGGGGGACGCACATTTACAACTCCGGTTATACGTCGGCTTCTGAGCTCTCAATTGCGATTTATTTTATGGTCTCCTGTAGCAATGCCACTGGCCTCGCTGGTAATGGTTTGCAGACAGAGTTAACCGGAACAAAACCCAGCCTTACACTACTTATCACCGAGCTAAAAGTGGTTTTTGCCAGCTCCATAAGAGCAGTTTTGGACTTTTTGTGACTTTGTCGCGGCATAATTGCCCTTACTCTCGTTTTAGCTTCGCTGTGGTCGCCGAAATATTTTTGATAATTTTTATAGCCTCATCCTTAGACTGTCCTTCCCTGGCACGCTTGAATTTATTTATATTAACGAAGGCAGAATTTGCCTCTGTGCACCAGTGTAGGGGCCTCTGTTAGCCTGAAAGCTTCCGGCAAATGCTAATAGTGTCAGTGATGAATTTCATATCCTTGAAAATATACAGGCTCTAGCCGTCAAGTCGATGCTGAAGTCTACAGATCTCTTGTGGATATGGAAAAGGAGGCATGCGGTGTACGATGAAGTTCGGGCGATTTATGCGATGGAAGTATCAGTTCAGTGGAACGAACGAATAGTGGTATAGACAAAAGTCCGAGACCACTACCCAGACACACCCCTAAAAATTTACTGCTTCTACAGAGAGATGTCGAGATATGACTCAGACAAGGAAGTTTTTGGAATCATTCAGTTACAGGTTCTCTAGGTCTCCTTTTTATTTAGCTAGATTTTACAAGAATTTTATGTTTCGGAGTGTATGATTGGACTGTAAATGTATACTGCCGCATTGAAATACTTATCTTCCTAAAGTTCTGTTTGACTTATCAGTTGGCAAACAAGAAAGTTTACTTCTGCCACCTTTAAGAAATCGGTCCTATGTGTGATACGTTTTTAAGAACGAATATGGCCTAAGACGAGCTTTCGGTCTATTTAGTAAAGAAGTTGAAGTCCGTCCGCCTTGAACATTGTCTAGTATAATTTCGAGCTTTTGTTTGGAGCTTTTGTTAGTGACTAATCCGTTTTAAATTTTATTGCTAATTTTCTCCATATTTACTTGCAGCTCAAATGGTTTTCTATAAAATGGCAACTGATAATGCATTTTACATCGAGGCTATTAATATCAACAATTCTCAAGCCATGCAAGGCATACAATATCGTTTATGGGGTAAGAAGCCGACAATGGGAATTTTCATGGATCTAAATTGCGAGAGCAGTGAAGCGCTCTTGGATATTGTGCGTACTGAATTAAGTGAATATTATATAATTTTAAGAAATATATAGATATAAACTGGTAATATTGGCTTGAATTCTTTTTTTTCGATACTCCTGTACACAGGCTAGCAGAGAGCGACTCTTCAACGATCATTTCTTCTGGTTAATCTATGATGACCTGGCCAATGTAACATACTTTCGGGCGCTCTTTACGCACATAAATCTCGCTGTTGATGCCGAATTAACCTATGCCAACTTGAATAGCATAGAAAGTGCCTCGAATAGCTCCAGTTTTAGCGCTTTTACACTGTACGATGTCTACAATAATGGCTACTATTATGGCGGTAAATTGAATATGACATTGGATCGTGAGCTTTATTGCACTGAGAAGGGCTGTGAAGTAAATAGATATCTTTCCAAGCTACACTTACGCAGCAAATACGGTAATAGGAATCAGCTGCATGACATCACTTTGCGTTTGGCTGTTGTGGTGCGTGTGGTCAGAGATGAAAGGGGAGTTGACGAATGTTTGTGAAGAAGTTAAATGTTTTAATCTTTTAAGGTCACCAAAGTGCCTTTAACCGCTACACCCGAGGAAATATTCACTTTTCTACGTTCCGTCAATGACACCAGTAAAGATGCTATACCACGCTTTGGTTACCAGGTGTTATCCATTTTAGTAGACTTCTTGGGTTGCAAGTAATTTTATTTTAATTATTTTATCTATTCTAAATACATATATGAATATATATATAGTATATATACTATAGATATGTGTATTAAAAATGGATCGTGGCTTGTTCGGATGCTTTGACCGATTTTTTTTTATTTGTTTGCTATAATACCCGGATGGTAGGAAAAAAATTAAAGAGCCACCTATTTGAAACTTTCAGTTTAAATAAATTGATAACATAAAGTAAATATTTTAATACACGTGTCAAAAGAAAGAAGTTTAAAAAGGCTTACCAGCGAAAATACATTTGTGGGGAGTTGCCACCTTTTTAAAAATTTATTAATTTTATTTAATGGATAAGATAAATTAAATATTACTATATGGGTATCAAAATAAAAAGGTTTAGGAGAGTTTGCTGCCGCAAATATTTTTAAGGAGGGTTGCCACCTCTTTGAAAAATTCAATTCAATTAGATTGATAAAAAGAATGAAATGTTACAATGTGGGTGTCAGATTACAGGGGTTTAAAAAATGGTTGCTGTCGAAACTATTTTGGAGGCGTGTTGCCACTTGTTTGAAAAATTTAGCTCAATTAAATTGATAAGATAAGCTACTTATCGTGAAAAGGTGCCAACTCCGTTTTTTTGAAATTGTTCAGGAGACGCGAAAAATCGATGTAGTTTCGCATTATCTGTCGCTCTGCATCAAAAACTAAGTTTTGAAAGAAATTGGACTTGGCACCATTTCGCCTTTAGGTAGCGATATGTGTGAAAGTATGGGTATAAAAAGAATAGTATTTAAATATTTTTTTTCTTTTAGGTATTTTTTTGATTAGTCTTCTCGTCTCTATTATTTATTCTTAACCTGTACTACACTCTCCAGGTCGAATCACACTTTCACCAATCGCTGGACAATCAATGAAACACATGGCGGTCTAATCGGCGCTTTGGCTGTACAGAGTGCCGATCTTATTTCCACACCATTCATTCCCACACCACCTCGCATGGAGTTCTTTACCATTATCGCGGAGACCTCATCATTTCGTTCGATCTGCCTCTTTCGTACGCCCCGCAACTCCGGTATACAGGGCGATGTGTTCTTGAAACCCTTCAACACCACCGTCTGGCTACTCTTCGGTTTGTTACTGCTTTTGACAGCTGTTGTACTTTGGAGCATTTTCCGACTGGAACGGAAACGCATGCACCAGCGTTATGTCGACTATATGCCCTCGATTTTGGCTACATTCCTCATATCCTTTGGCTCGGCCTGCGCACAGGGTAGCGAGATGGTGCCCGGTTCCATTGGTGGACGCATAGTTTTCTTAACATTGTATCTACTAACTTTTCTAATGTACAACTATTATACGTCCATTGTTGTTTCGTCGTTGCTTGGCTCGCCGGTGAAGTCTGATATCAAAACAATGGGCCAGCTGGCAGATAGTCCACTAGAAGTGGGACTCGACCCTTTGCCATTCACGCTAACCTATTTGAATGTAAGGGATAGAGATGGTTATGAATAAGTTCTAAAACTATTTTGGTTTATCCCTTTAGAATTCTCCGCTACCAGAAGTACGGCGCTTCAAACGCAAAATCGACTCCGCACCCAATCCGCAGGCCATTTGGATGCCCTTGAAGGACGGAATACTGCGCGTACGCGATCAACCTGGTTTTGTTTTCGGGTTTGAGGCCTCAACTGGCTATTTGCTAGTCAAACGCTACTACAAGCCATATGAAATCTGTGACTTGAATGAGATACTATTTCGTCCGGAGAAAAGTTTGTTTAGTGCGGTACATAAGAACTCAAGCTTCAAGGAGTTGACCAAACAAAGGTAAATGATTTAAGTTTGTGAAGTAATTAAAGCTTTCAACTCAATACCAAATTTTTACTCAAATAAAAATTCTTCTTCTTCTACTTCTTCAGAATTTTTCGCATCTTGGAGACTGGCGTTTCCTTAAAGTTGCACCGCTATTGGGTTCAATCGTCACTGGAGTGTTTCGATAGCAATTTCATAGTTGAAGTTGGTATGGAATATATGGCACCACTCTTTATGCTGTTGTTGTGTACTTACTTTTTGGTACTCTTCATATTGTTATTGGAAATTGTGCATAAGAAATATTGGGTAGATCGCAAACTGAGATTGGAGAATATTATCTTTGGTGATAATTGGCATAATGAGTAAACTGGAATTGAAAAATGGGCACTCAAATTTTTTTCAGAATTTTCCCAAATTATAAAATAATCTGCAAAACGTTTAAAAACAAATTATCATCGCACTATAATATAGTTTTACTTACACTCTGTAGTTTGCTCTTTGTAGTGATTGCAAAGTAAATACATTAAATAATCTGCAAATGTTATTTTTATCTGCAGTTGAATCATATCCTCAATAGGCGCAGACGCTTAATAGAGGATTTCAAAAATGTGCGTGGACCACAGCACGCGTTTTAGACTTATAGCGCTTAGTGCTTCCTCTAAAACAGTAGTTGGACAAGAACTTTTTTTTGTCTCATCGGGACTCCTATACCTTGGAAACCATGGACAAAGCTGAGCATTCAAAGGCGGTGATTATACCCAGCTACTTTGATTTCTCGCGTTTTTTTCAACTAATGGCAGCGTCAAAGAACCAGTCAAAGCTGTTAGCAAAGTTCTTGGTTGATATTAGGCAGCGTTTGAACCACCGCAAGAAAACTATGTAGCTCTATCAGACATAGAGTATGGAGAACAGCCCCTGTGAAAAGACTGATTTTGTTCCAGCTGCCCGCAGGCTAGTCTCCAAGATTTTATTGCCTACAGTCAAGCTCTCACTTTCGTCGAATTTTAAGTTATTACGAAAAATCTATGTAGTTCTAGTCAGCTAGACATATATCATTGATTCACTGTCAATGACAGAAACCACCTACAGATCATATATCAACGTCAGAGACCCCTTCAAGTAAGTTTTAAGATATGGTTTTGAGCGGCCTCATATGAGGCCTGGAGCCTTGGAGAGATAGCGTCTTTTCGGGACATTAAACCTTCCTCAACGAGTGACATATACACACCGGGTTAGATTAAGTTGTATTTACTATCTTCATAAGCTCCAGATGGAGGCACGTTTACATAAAAATAGAACCTTTTGCATATGTCTATATTTAGCATTTTCCAAGCAGAGATTCATGTAAAAGAATAGGTATACTTACATTCTAGAAACTTATGCATTATGTTGGTCAGTAAGGCTGCTTTGGTAGCGCTTAAGTCCGTCATAATAACATCAAAACTGGTAAGCGACTACTTGAAAATCCTAAAAGCTCTTGGAGCCAAGGACACAGTATGAGGCATAAGGGCCATGATGATAATTAACAGGCGGACCGCTATAGTATTCCATGGCCCTGAATACTTTTATGGTGCCACCAAAGCACCCACAAGTGAAGTCATAAACAAGTGCGTGGGCCAAAAATTCCACTTGGCTAGAGTGAATGTGCAGCGTGAAGACAAGCTAAGCGCTTTATCTGCCCATAACAGGAAACTCCAAAAGAGCTTATAATTTTAGGCCCTAAGGACCTTCGAACTCTCAGTGGATACTTCACGTTACATTGCTCCATGCATTAATACCTCAGTAAAATGAATATTTCAGGCAAAAGCGTCTGTCGTTTCTACGAGCTGGATGAAGAAACGTCAGACCATATTCTCTGTGAATGTTTTGCTCTCGCTAGCCGCACACTCGCATACTTGGTATAGCACTTAATCCATTCGAAATATGAAACAAAAAGCCCACGGATGGGCTAGTCTATTTACAGTATCGCGGTGTAGAATCAATTATAATAAAAATAAAAACAATTATAATAATGCTTCTCAACAAAGTTAGCGATCGTCTGCAGTTCAAAAGATATAGTATTGGAATCGAAAATACATTCATAGATATAGTACTTAATTTACGAGTTCTTTACTTGACACCCTGTATATATTGTTTTATTTTAACTAGTTAAAAGTCAAGCTGTCAACGTATTTTTGAAATGTTAATAGGCTGACCGACAAGAAAATTTCCTCGAATTGCGTATACGCCATGGCCTGCCGTATAAATACAAGTTTTTCATTCTGGTGATTGTTAAACGCTCTATTGCAACATGAAAGGAATGTTTAAGGTAGGTATAAATAAATAAGCAACAGACTTGACAATAAACTGATGACATAAATAAACGTTAAGGTTAGCCGATATTCTTTGGCAGCAAGAAACATTTCGACATTGCTTTTCTAATTGCTGGAAATATTTTATTTTTTAGTGGAACTAGTGTAACAAAAATTTTCGGTCATCAATTTTCTAATTTCTTTAAGTCATATCTATCTCCGTATATATGTATTTTTTTAACACTGCTTCCGGCTAGGCAGGAATTAGCTGAGCTATCTGGTCGTTGCTCTTCGACCTTTATATTTCAGAGGAGGAAGCATCGCAAGCCTCAACCCCAAAAAGGTTAGTGTGAGACTTTAATCCACTAAGGGCCGGTTTCTCTATCTCCGGTTAACACTAATCCCCCAGTAAACATCGTTACCGACCTTATCGACTCCCTGTTATATGCATGGAGTTAGAACGTCGATAACAATGTTTAACCGGGGAGTTAGTGTTAACCAGAGATGGAGAAACCGGCCCTAAACCTCCTACCCTTTACCACCGTCAAGTATTTCGTCGGGAGGCGGTTTGAGCAATAAGCTCTACCTCCGTTGCTGTCCACATGATGACATCTACTGTTTATTTTGTTCTGGTGTTAAACCAACCCAGCCATATTTATTGTCCTACTAAGAAGTTCGTACCTAAGTGTAGTGTAGTCAGCATATAGCAAATAAATGCAACTTGTTCGATTTTTAGAGGCTCGCCCCTTAATGCCATAACTTCACAAGCAAACGTTCTATACATACATACATAGCTAATTTAGGTTGCGTCGAAGTTATTTTATTACTTCGTCTGACAAATGGCAAATACCGTTCCATGCTTGAAAAACGCGCGCTCAGCGTATTCGAGGATGGTCCGCACTGCTCGCTATAAGGATTTTGCACAGGTCCAAAGCAGCCGTGTGTACTGATGAGCCAAGTGTTGATTATTGGTGTGAGGCGTTTTCGACCTAACTTAATCTAAATGGTAGACTTCGAAAAAACCAAGCAAGCTAAGATGAACAAAAGCACATCATAAGAAACGGCCTGATGAAAAAAATCAAAATAACGAGAGTCAGTACTCCCTCAAAGTTAACTAGTTCATTGTGGTTTAAAAATGTCTAATTTTTTTTTTGCTAAATAAATATAATAAAATAACTATGATGTACAACGCGTAATAAAGATATCAATCACTGTCAGAGTAAATAACGTAATGTAAACATTGCCATTTGCGATGACTTTAAAGCCCATTTAATTGTCATTAATTGAGTGATTATGCGTTTTATTTGCGTAAGTACACTCATTACATTTAACCTTGAGGAATAAGCTAAAGGAGTACATATATACATATATATATAAGCCTTTTCGTGCTTTCATGCTAATATAAATACACTTGCCCTAAGACATAGTTTTAAAATAAATCAAAGTTTTACCAGTGGATTTTTATTACAACAATGAATCAATTGTTATTGAATTTTATTTTGCATCATTTCTGGAATGCAAATATTAATGCAATTGTATTTTTCAATTGTTGGAGTTTGCAAAGTGAGTAAAATTAAGCACTTATACATAGATAGATAGACCTTTGAAAGACTTGAGGAATGCCATGAAAAATGTCTGAATATTGAAATGTTAGGAACTGTGGTAAACGCTTTCGGAGTCCCAGAAACCTTACTCAGCTTATCTGCAAATACTTCGTGCGGACACCTCTATTCGTCTTTAATTTTTTGAAAATGACTCTTTTAGTTAATCATCCGAAGATTACCAAGGCGGCGTATTTTGATAATGCTTTCGCACTCCGATAATGACCCGAAAAGGCGGCTTTACGGTTTCTTAAAATGTCCTAGTTTTATTTATACTACTGATATTATAAATGTGAAAGTTTGTGAGTGGTTGAGTTTGTGAGTATGTTTGTTGCTCTTTTACGCTTAAACGGCTAAACGGGTTTAAATGAAATTTGGCACACAGATAGGTTTGGAATAGCATAAAGGGTATTCTTTAAGTTGCCACCTTTTTCAAAGGTTACAAAAATAAATTAATAAGTTAAATAAAATATTGTAGTAAAGCGGTTGTCCAAATAAAGGGGTTTAAGAACAATTTTTTTTACGAAGATATTCTTTAAGAAGGTTGCCTTCTTTTTAGAAATTTTTAATATGGACGTTACATAAGAGAGATTTTTCAGGAATATTGGATTATTTTTTTGCGACCTTTCGATCGCTTTTAAGAGCACACTTATTTTTTCAATTAAATTATATTTAATTAAAATTTTTTTCGGTCTATGGCATTGACAATATTACGGAATACATATGCAGGTACCACGAAAAAAATATACAAAAATCACTACGACTTCAGTTCATTCCATAATTGCAGTGTACTGTTTCGACTATTTATATGGAAGCAGATGGAAATAGTCATGGTGACATTTGATAAAAAAGGGAAAATAAAAGTCATAAATACAAAATTTCATATCATTTGCAGAAAAGAGAGTATTTACGCCTATGTAATTTTAAAATATAATCTTTGCTTTCTGTGAGTGGAATGCAGGAAATAAGAATAACTCAAAATTCCAGCAAATTTATGACTGGGACCACAATTTTTGCGAGTTTTTGACGTTATAGTGATCCAATCCTTCCCATATTTTATATTTGGGGTTTTACAATAAAAGAGAGAGTACAACAAAAATTTCATCGAAATCGGATGAAATTTAATTTTTCCGCCCATATAAGTGGAGGGCGGGGCAGTTATTCCATCTTTACCAAATTTCATAGTTCCTCATTCCTAAGTCAAATTAGCAAAAGTTTCAGCGAAATCGGAGGAGGTTAACTATTCTTTCCACCTGCCTCCATATATGTATGTATGTAGTCGAAACACTCTGGAGCGCCCCGAAAACGCTCCTTCGCGGAGCTGCTGTGGGATTCCCGTTGCACTCCATATTTGGAGCACCCCGCATTTGGCTGGCTGGGATGTAATTCTGTCGAGGAGATGTGGTGATCCAAAAAATAGTAGCCATAACTTCTGCCGCTTAGACTTTGAAATGCTCGTGGAGTTCTTATATATATAAAAGAAATCGGAATTTTGATATTGATTTTTTTTTGCAAATAACTTTTTCAGCCCAGCAACATTTTATGCATATGACTAACGAGAGAATGTGGTATACGCGCTTTGTAAATATCGAATCAATGGATTTATTTGGTGATTTTGAACATCGCTATTTGCTGCATAGCCGATCCATTTTGGGAGCCTACTTAGATATGAACTGTAATAAATCGGAGGACGTACTGAACACAGTAAGTTTCAGATCCCAAACAAATCCCAAAGTAATTCATGATAAGAAATTTGAACGTCAAAATAAGCAACTTTTGGACGCTTAGTATTCTCCTCGATACCCGTTCACCATGGAGAGGACACAGATTATACAACTGGATTACTGCACCTCCTTGACTGATCTGTTGGTTTATACGCCTTTTCGCCCCATCCTTGATTCCCATTATAGGTTTAAGCACGTTTGACATCTACGCCTGAGGGCTGAAAGTTTTTTCTCGGCCTACTCAAGATAAATGTTTCTTTTTTTACGCTCTTTAGCTTAGCCGCTGGAGTCTCTATAATCAGCACTATAACTGGTTGCTCTACGATCGTACAGCTGATATGCACAACTTCAAACGCCTCTTTGTGAATGCCAGCCTCTCTGTAGATGCAGAGCTCACTTATGTCATACTGAAGCCAGCTCTTATGGACGCCAATACTGATACGAATACAACGTGCTATATAACTTATGATGTCTATAATAATGGCTACGCCTTAGGTGGTAAACTGAATGTGACTGTTGATCGCGAGATTCAATGCAATTTGCAGGATTGCCATGTACGGCGTTATCTTTCAGATTTGCATTTGCGATCGAAATATAGCAATCGACTTCGGTTGCACGATGTAACAATGCGGGTGTCGACTGTGGTAAGTGGGCTGAGAAGAGAGGAGAAGAGTTAGGTAGTAAGTAAATACTGGATATTTGGTATTTTTTCAGGTCACTAAAAGGCCACTCAGTTTACCACCGCATCTACTCTTAGAGTTTCTAAACTCAGAAAATAATACGGAAATCGATGCAATCTCGCGTTTTGGCTTCAGAGTGTTGTTGATCTTCAAGGATCTCTTCGGTTGCAAGTAAGTAAAGTTTAAGGTAGACAAAGTAATTTATAAGAGTTGCGAACTTTTTAAAAGGTAAAGTCAACCAAAGTGGAGTGACATATTTTTATGATATTGATATCGAATAAAAACTTTAATTCAAAAATAAATTGAAATAGCGATGCCACCTATTTTAATAAAATTTCAGTGAATAAAATGTGTAATAGAAGCGTAATATTTTGGTATGGCATCAAAGAAGTTTAAATTTGTTTCAAACAGTTAAATTAAAAAAAACATCAATAGGGTTGCCATATACACACATATAAAAGTTAAAAAAAAAATTTAATTTGAATGATGTGAGACATTTCACTATGGATATTTAAGGAAATTAATTTAAAACACTTTGTTTTAAAAGTACATACTTTTAAACAGAGTTGCCACCTACATATGTGCATACATATATATGTGCAAACAAAACTAAAAATTTAATTGATGAGTTAAAAAAAAATATGGCAAAATTAATATAAGTGAAAACTTAAATAAAATGCAGGGTTGCCACCTTTAAAAAATAAAAATATGATAACAAATTAATGATGGCAACAAAAGCGAATTGGCTTGTGAAAAATTTAAATAAATACAAAATGCCGTAGTAGGGTTTCCATTTTTGTACAATAAGCTGGTTCACAAAATTGTTTTCCGACAAAGGCTTCGCAGCACCTTCCAAAATGTTTCCTTTTGTCGAAATAGGAGCTGACACTAAACTTTACGTCTCTAAGTATAAATGTAGAGGACGCTCATGAAATTTTCATATTTTGCTCTTGAAGTATTTTCTACACAAATTAACAAAACAATTGGTAAAGTAACCTAAGAGTATTTCCAATTTAAATTTGCTGGAAAAATATAACAAGCTTCAGTTTTCATTGCTACAGTAGCTGTTTATAAAAAAGCGCCAATACTTTTGTCAGTTCCAAAGTGAATTAGTAGCGCATTTTAAGATCATCGAGCGCCCTGAATTGGTTACAGTAGAAAATTTAAAGTTCGTATAGGTGTTACTAATACCAGAGGAAAAACCTGAAAGGGTGCCCCGCTTTCTACGATGACAGTTTTTCTCCCATACAAAACTAGAACTTGTGCATATTTAAGTAAATAATATATTCTAATTAAATACATATTTCCACTGTTTTCACTGCAGCAAAGTTCGCCTTCTTTTATCTTTTCTCCTGCCATTTACCCATTTTCTCTCCCTCTCTCATTTACAACAGCATGGAGCACACCTTTCGCGACCGCTGGAGCATGAATGAAACGCATGGTGGCATAATCGGTGACATGATCACCAAGGACGCCGACTTTGTATCCTCACCTTTCCTCAGCACTAAGCCGCGTCAGAAGCATCTCTCGCTTATGGCCGTAACAGGTGCTTATCGACAACTTTGTCTCTTTCGCACACCACGCAGTACCAGCATTAGAGGTGAAGCCTTTCTACAACCTTTCGACACCTCGGTATGGGTTGTTTTCAGCATCATACTGGGTTTACTGGCGATTTTTCTTTGGCGTACCTTTGCTTTGGAGTCACGCAATTTCCGTCAACGTATGCCTTATGAACCTTCACTACTGGCGACCACCCTACTGGCTTTCGGTTCGGCCTGTTATCAGGGTAGCAATATTGTGCCGTTTTCGTTGGGTGGGCGATTGGCCTATTTTTCACTCTATTTTGCAACGTTTATTATGTATAATTATTATACATCAACTTTGCTTTCAACGCTGCTCGGTACGCCGGTAAAGTCTGATATCAAGACGCTCGGTCAGTTAGCTGATAGTTCCTTGGAGGTTGGACTGGATCCATTGCCCTTTACTTTTGTGTACTTGAATGTTCGTAGAGTTCTTACGCACTGAGTTAGTCTCGTTAATAACAATTTTTTTTCCTTAATTACCAGGCCTCTCAATTGCCCGAAGTACGTCGTTTTGTCTATCGTAAAATTGCGTCCAAGCCTCATCCCGATAAGGTTTGGATTCCTGTGGAAGAAGGTATTTTACGCGTGCGCGACGATCCCGGCTTTGTTTACGTACTTGAAACTTCGACAAGTTACCCATTTTTGGAACGGAGTTTCTTACCGCATGAGATTTGTGATTTAAACGAGGTTTTGCTACGTCCAGATCGCGGTTTGTTTACTCAGCTCCACAAAAATTCAACCTATAAGGAATTAACACGCTTGAGGTATGATTTTAATTTTGAGTGTGGTGAATTTATAAAACTTCGTATTTCTCTTTTCCTTTAGGGCATCTCGCATGATGGAGACAGGCGTTTGGCGCAAACATCGTCGCTATTGGGTTAAGGAAAAACTAAATTGCGTGCCAGGCAATTTTCTCTTCGCTGTTGGCATGGAGTACACGGCTCCACTATTTCTAATGCTAATTTTCTCATTTGCACTATGTTTAGTGCTATTATTATTGGAGTTAGGTATTAAATATTTGTTGGATCATCAGCGTGATAATACGATTGGTATTTGGAGGAGTAGTCTGGCAGAAGGATTTATACAGTAAATGCAATTGGAAGACGAAGGTAGAAAAGCTGGTTTATGTAAATCGATAGTTTATTAAGAAATACTCTAAACAGATATTTAATTACAATATTAAAGTAAAACATGACTTTATTTTTAATGCACACATGAGCGATTTCACGTGAAGGGATCAAAGTACATTTTTTTTCCTTCTATTCCACCTAAACTGCAAGCATTAGTGGTACTGATAGATGGCATTTTTGGCAAAATATTTTTCGAGAGGGTGGGGGTGTAAGTTTAGGAGTTTTACAGTTTTAAGTAAGCTGAAATATTTTTTTCTTAATAAATAAAATGAAATGAAAATAACTATATTAAAAAAATGTTGATATCAGCTTCGATAGATTTTTACATGCTCTTTCGATTGGTAGTATGAATTTTTTGAAAAAAAATTTTAGTGCCCCAAAAAAAAATTTAGGTGAAAATTAAATTTGAATTTTTAGGGTGACGCGCACGCTGCTGATAGCTGAGTTTTTTTTTTTGCTAAGAAGACATATAGATGAAAAAGTGGGCCTACAATGTTTATTTAAGTTTAGAAAATTTTAGTTTTGTACTGGGCGTAGCGTTGCGGACTACCGCGCAACTATGGATTGCTACGGGTGGCGTTAACTAGGTTGCGCGGTACCCTGCAACGATCTGTCCAGTAAAAACCCCTACATTTCTAAGCTTAAATATTGTAGGCCCACTTTTCCATCTTTTTGTCGTTATATAAAAAAACCTCATCTTTCGTTAAAAAAAAAAATTATAAAAGACAAGCTTTTATTAGTGGTTAATAAAAAATAGCCACCCCGCCTCACCCAACGGCAAATTTTTTTGTGAAGTTATTTCTTTCCTTTTACTAAATATACGTTCAAAATATGAAACCAATTGGACCATAAATACGGCTTTCCCAAATATCTGGACTTCTGCGCCACCTACCGGGTATATTTATATTCGAAATATGAACCATATCGGTCCATAAATACAGGGGTTTCAAATATCTCGACACCCGCGCCACCTAGCGGATTAATTTATCTTTCGCATTGCATTGTCATCGGTTTCTGGGCTCAGTTTAAAGCTTCATGTCTCTAACTTATCGGGAAGTTAGTTAAAAATTGATTGCAATATTTGATTACACACAGGTGAAACATAATAAAAGCTTGTTAAAACATAATGAAAGCTTGTAAAAAATAGAAATCATGTCATTCACTCAAAAAACTCAAATTTATTTTTCACATTTTACTTTGATCACTTCAACTGTGAGATATAGACGTTTTCCTGATTAATAAGAATAAGCCCTAAAACAAAAAGCAAGATCTCTTCACTTTATCTCTTTATTGAAACAAGAATGCCAAGGTAGCTTTATGCAGCCACTATACAACAGCAGCTTTGCGAACATATCTTCCCTAATCGAAATTGTTGTAAAGTTCTAAAAATGAGTTTTGAAGCGGGCCTCTTCCTTCTATTGCAGAGATAGAGAAAGAGAGAACGCGAGGAAGATTTTAGTAGACTTTTTCTAAGAGGTTGTACAGAGCTGTATAAACAATTTACTTGACAGCTCACTTCTGACACTTTTAGTCACTTGAGCTCTTCGAAGGTTTTTTTCGAATAAAAAAACTTCAAGAAAATTTCGTCAAAGTTAGGACAGTTTATATGAACTGACAAAATGTATCCTATTCAACACCAACAAAATGTTTTCCATATGTAAGGGGTAGTCTACTCATCACTCGGGACCTTTATGGTAAACTACTGGCAGGCCAAAGTGCAGTCAGACAAAATGTTCGGGCTAATTGGAGTGCCTCTACTTCTATTCTAACATACATACCAGACAATGATAATGTGGATGAATTGCTACAAGAGATGGTATATTCGCCCCCTTTCGATGTCTTGGAGTTGTTTGGGCATGCCGCTGGCTACCTGCAAGCTCATTCTAAAGGTTCTATCTCTTAAATTACTGGACAAGTCTTACCACTTACCACAAGAAGCTGAAACTCATTTGACTGAAATGGAACGTGAAGCGGTCGACAAGTCGCCCATGCTACGTAGAAGGAACTTAGCCACAAGCATTATTCTGCTAACCGGTCATGTTGCCATGGGAAGGCACACAGAAGATTGGAACTTCCTATTACGACTTCTGCAGAAATGAAGAAGAGTCAGAAACCTTGCGGCATCTATTATGCGAATGCCCATACTCTGTGATAGAAGAAGAAATTTCATGGATTCAGAATTTTTCGACAGAGCTAAGGCGGGCATACGACTACTATTCGGTTTCACAGACTACACACGATGATTTGAATACATAAATAGTTTTGATATCACAATGGGCTCATAATTACGAACCTAAATAGGAGTGCTGGTGGGTTCACTACCAGCCACCTCAAATTACCCCAGCCTAACTATACTTACCATGCTTTTCTTTGGAATTGTGCTTAACGTGGCGTGGATCTCAAACCCAGCGCACGATCAGCAGCTGGAGAGTGTTTTGAGTACACGTTTCTATAGCATGCCACTCCATGACAGATGCACACTTCCAGCCACACGTCATTGCCGCTGCGGACTTCAGTGGATTTTCAAAGCTCCCTCTATTTCTGTCGCGTCTCGTCACATCTCGGAAATTTTTTCGTTAGGTCAATTCAGTTGCATTACCACCATATCAAGTACATATTTACTATATAAATGAAGCTAAAAATTCTTTAAGTCACTGGGATAACTGAAAGTCGGTTAAAGAATTAATATACGCTTTTTATCGTTTAATTCTACACAAAGGTAAAAAGGACATTTTTGCTTCTGAAATTTTAAATGCAAAGTGCATGTAAAAATATACCAAAAAACCACTGAACCAGTTTAGTTTTCTGTTGTTGAAATTAGCATTAATTTGATTTTTAATGTCTTTTCTTTTTTTTTGTTAGAAATTTCACATCGACATCAAAAAAGTAGGAGGTTATCAATACCATGAAAAGTATAAAATCGCGTGCATAGTTGGGAAATACATATATGAGTGTAAGTTTACATTGATAGATCATCAACTAGATATTGCCAAAATTAATGATGTAAATTACCAAAAGAACTACACACATATGTATGTATGTACGTACATAGCTTCAATATTTTCATTTTATCACATACCAAAATTTATGCCTACGTTTACATTTTCCTCTCTATAAAGGGCTTTATTTAAATACTTTCACTTTCGCAGCCATGTTGTATTTGTAATGTATTTAGTTTGTGAGTTGTAAATCTGTTGCCGAGCAGCGGAAATGTATACATTTGAACTGGAATTTGCATTTGCATTTTGTCAAGTGCCTGCAGCCCTGCAAGCTGCCGTAAGGATTTAAAGGTGCTGAAATTGTTATCCCTACCAGCGCCGGTATCAAAAAGGTGAGTGGGTGCGAAAGATAAAAGCAGAAATGCAGATTGGTTATACATATAAGGTGATACAAAGGAATGGATAGAAACTCGGCTGCAGATATGCGACAAGCTGCCTAAAGTGTTTTAAGTTAGGAAGCAAAAAAGGGTAAGCACCATTGAATGTGCATAATGTTTTTCAGTTTACATGTATGTACGTACGTACATTTAAGTATTATTTTGTGGCATTTTAGCTGCGAAAAGGTAACGACAACTTTTTTATTTGTTCTTGATATTTTTGTGTTAAACAAAATTGTATCATTTGAATTAAATGTAAGATGGTTAAAACTGAGCCATGCAGAAGAAGGGAAGCTGAGAAGGGAGTGCTGAGATGATTCCACCTCATCGTACTCTAGATAGCTGTGGCACATCGGGTCCGCAGCAATGTTAAGACGTACCGCATGAATTCGTATTGAGCACTGCCCAGTCAGAACAGCCACGAAATCTGAGAGTTGTTGCTGTGTAAGCTGGAGAAGTTTCCTGGACCGCCCACGATCAACTACCGGCCAAAAGAAGCTTGCAACTTTGCTTGGTGATGACTTCTAAGATGTTCCGCCTGGCCAGATTAACGGTGCAGAAGTTTCCTGCAATTTCGCTGTGCCCCGAAACATAAATCAGTCTGTTGCACAAGTTATTCGATGAAATAGAGAGAGGAAGATCACGCAGTTCCGGACAAGTTTTGATTTTACCTTTGGCGATCCCCAGGGTCTGATCACCGCTTGGCAGTTAGAGTAGATACAGTGACGAGCAAAACTGTAACATGGTTTAACACTTTTTGTTTCAGCCACCGCTATATATATTCTTGTTGGTACATCCCTACTCCCTCTCTCATAATGTTTTGAAGTCAATACAATAACAATAAAAAAACCAGCAGACAAAAATGTAAATTAAGGCAGATGTTACAGTTTTGCACTCATATATTTTTAAGGGCTTTTTAACAATTTTCACGAAAAAAAGAACTACTAACACAATGTTCAGTACTCTTTCGCCTGTTTCAGTTCCTGGATGAGATTTGGCATACCTTATTTGTATCTTTGTAAAAATTCTGGAGGTATATCCTTAGTTTGCTTTCACAGCTCATGTACTCGATTTTACGTACTCTGATACTTATTAAGCTGTGCTTTTAGTTGATTTCGCAAATTCGATGAGATTCATGTCCGCGGTTTGTGGAGGTCATTTCAAATTAGAAAATTTTTGCTTTTGTATGCAGTCTTTGCGAACTTGTGCAGTGTGTTTTGAGTGATTTTTCAGCAGAAACTCTCATTTTTCGACTACATCTTGCAAATTTTGTTGAAATATGAACAGATACTGTTCCTTACGCATAATGCGTACTAACGGACCAACAAAATTTTTGAAATACAACCCCAAACAATTAAGATCCTACCACTGTGATTCACAGTTTGCAGTACATGATGCGCTTAGGCTTAATTTGGGTCTTTGATCCAATACCATGCCCGGCCATCTGATTGAAAGCGATTAATTTAGTCTTGTCAGACCAAATAACCTTCGATTGAAACTTAAAAATATGTTTTTTATTGCATTCTGAACGGCCTAACATATC